ATCAGCGACAGGAAGTTCATCCATCAGCGACAGGAAGTTCATCTATTAGTGACAGGAAGTTCATCTATTAGTGACAGGAAGTTCCTCCATCAGCGACAGGAAGTTCCTCTGCAGCGCTCGCTCTTCCAGAGAAACAAAACGCCTCAAAGCAACACGAACAGCTGCAGACTGCTGCATCTGAGGTGCACAAACGAGCTTTACGGTAGATCCTCCTGTAGAATCTATAGATTTTATCTCCCTGCTGGGATTTGCTGTTTTATTGTCACTTACTGTAATCAGTGTATTGACTTTAAAGCTCAGGAACACAATCACATCATTCTGGACATTTAACCCATAAAAACCATTTATTATTAATCCTGTTTGTGCTGCAGCTCTGCTCAGTCTGAACAGATTGTTGTTCTTTATTCTGATTTTATACATTTTATATTTTATTAAAAAGCTTTGACGTTCTGTCACTCTGCTGCTGTTCCACCCAGACATCCTGAAGCTTCTCAGCACCAGGCCGGTCCGCTGCGGCGCTGATTTCATTAGAACCGAACAGAACCAGAACCAGCAGCTTCATCAGGTTACAGCCACACAGACTACCCACAATCCTCTGGGGCGCCTCGTCATGGTCACACAGCGGGTTGTTGTGGAGCTCCTGGAGGAGGTTTAATTACTTTAATCGTCATGGAAACAGGTCCATCAATCACAGCTGCCGTCGAGTCACAGACACCAGAACCGGCCAATCACAGCGAGGGAGAGCAGCATCGATAACCAGAACCCCCGACCCAACCCAAACCCCCGCCTCCTCCCAGGCTGCTGGAATGTGAAGCAGGTAATGGAAAACACACACACACACACACACACACACACACACACACACACACACACACACACGCTGAGCAGCCTGGAGGAGTTCTGTCTCTGGTTCTGCTTCAGCCACAGCAGAGTAAACACGGCCAGCAGTAGACAGTGTGTGTGTGTGTGTGTGTGTGTGTGTCTTTGTGTGTGTGTGGTCCGGTCGGAGCCTGGACGCTGGTTGGTTTCATCCACCGCGTTGCCGTGGAAACGGCAGCCCGGCCACAGCAGTGGACCTTGCTAGGTGGTCCAGAGGTCGGTGCTGACGGCTCCTGCAGCAGAACCAGAACCCGGAGCGCTGCGGCTGTAACCGGAGCCGCCGGGTCGGCCCAGACAGGGCGGGGCGAGAGGCGGGGCGGGGGGACATATGGCAGCTATTAGGCGCTGCAGACTGCCCGGCTCTGCTGCAGAACCTCCGACTACGCCGCCCCAAACAGAAAAATCCCTCCGGCTCTCCTCCATTAATCAGAGCAGGAGTTGGATTCAATCAGCCAATCACAGCCTGCGCTCAACAGCCAGGTGGCCTCCTGATTGGCCAGCTTTGACTCAGGCCCAGGGGTCAGAGGTTAATCTCCTCATTTAGCAGGGCGGGGCCTGGAGGAGCGGTTGGTCTTTATACCTGACTGGAGGCTCCATGATGCAGCAGAGAGCAGGACTGAGCACGGCCCCATGGGAAATGTAGTCTGAAGGCAGCCGGTCTGCAAAACAAACACGAGGTTAGAAATAAAACAATATTAACATTGGAACAACAAGTTAATGTTCACTCTGCAGCCAGACAGGAAGCTGCTCCAAAACCCTTCACAATAAGAGTCCAGATGGTCCGGACCCGGTCCAGGAAGAGACCCAAATACTAGACTGAACAAAAAGCACCAATAAAAGAGCAGTTAGAGCTAAATATGAGCATCGACTTCTGCAGCGCCACCTACTGTCTGACAGGAGAACTGCAGAGAGCAACAGGAAGGAAGGAAACGGTAAAAATGGGAGAAATCAGAACATTGAGCTAAGCTAAAAGATGGAAGCTAATCGAGAATAAGATAAGCTAAAAGATAAGCTAACTTACACTAAAATAAGCTAAGCTGGAATTATATAAACTAAACTAAAACAAGTTAAGCTAAACTAAGCTTAGCTAGCAGAAGATAAGCTAAGCTAAAGATGAGTTAAACTAAACTTGATTTCCTCCAACAAATCAGACACATTGAGGTTTTTACAAAATAAACAGGAAATATAAATGTCAACAATCCCAACAATAGCTGCTAACATCAGATGTTTGTTAATGCGAGTTACTGTCTGCTGCAGATCTACATGAATGATTTAAAACATCTTTACTGTGGAAAAACCTGAGGAAGTAAATTAAATGTTAGCATGAAGATGAAACGTTTCCTGTTCAACCAGGAATAACAACCTGAGGACCAAAAATGGCCGCTCCTGGTGACGACCCTGACATGTTCAGCTGCAAACATGGCCGACCTGCTCCCAGAGCGGAAACCATGGCAACCAGCAGAGGAAGCTGGATTCCTATAGGTGGAAACCAGTGGAACCGGTTCTGGTGGCAGAGCAGAGGAATGCCGCCTAGAACCCGAGACCTGCAGCCGGGCTGACAGCCAGAACCCATCGGTCCAACCGGACTCTTTCCTCACAAAGGACTGGGCAGGGCTCAACCGGACCGGACCAGGCATCAGCACCCTGCGTCCAGGCAGAGCTGCTGCCTCTGCAGCAACATGGCGCTCACATCCCAGTCCGCCCAGTGGTGAACTGGGTCCAGTAGGCGCGGCTCCACTGACTCACCAGCTGCTGCCGTTTTTATCCCGTTAGGAACGCCGGCCTTTCCAGAAACACTCAGGATTTACTGCAGCGCACAGAGGAGCACCGGTTCTGGAGGCCTGGTTCTGGAGGCCCGGTTCTGACTACAGGATTTTGTTTGTTTTCTTTATTAGGATCCCAGGTACTTCCCAGGACTTTAGTTACTAATCTTCCGGGGAACCAGCTGATATAAAATATTCATAAAACCATTTTAATATCACAAAATTAGTCACATTCATTTTACAAATTACACAAAAACTGATATTTAACAAACATCATATTTCAGCTCTTTTAGGAGAAAATATGATTTTAATCTCTGATGCTTCTGGGTCGTTAATTCGGTTCCTGAACGCAGCACCAAAAGGCCGTGGTGCATTCACAGCCTCCAGGAAAACCCAGCGCTGAGCTTGGAGCAGGTTTGGACCCGGCTGCTGCAGCCTGCAGGAACTGAGGCTATCGGAGCGGGTCAGAACCGCCGGCCTGGTTGTTTACAGTAGATCGATAGAATCACAGGAGACCCGAGACAGAACCTGGAGGTCGGAGCCTTGCAGAACCAGAACCTCTGGGTCATGACCCAACAAGAAGGAGAACCAGAACCTCAGCCCAGTCTATTCAGATCATTTAGTGAAGATCAGAACCGGTCTGTCCCAGAACCAACCCGACCCAATAAACCCGCTACAGCAGCAGGTCGGACAGAGACCCGGTACCAATACTCATCTGAACCAGTTCTGATCAGAAACCCAGAAAGTCCCAGAACAGAACCGTTTGGGTTTCAGTCCAACAAAATGTTCAGAAAATATGAAGAAATAAAAATGATTCACTTCATCAGAGAGAAAAGAACTGACTGGAGGAACTGAACTGGTTCAGAGGAACTGGCTCAGTTAGAAGTGGTTCAGCTGTAGTGAATCATTTAAAGTGAATCAGTTTAAATTAGAGATGTGCCGATCAGGTTTTTTCCTGCCGATACCGATACCGATCACCCATGATGGCCGATA